GTCCGCTCGACGTTCCAGAGCTAAGTCAAATAAAGGCATCCGCGTGTAGGTTAGCGCTCACCGGCCACAGGCCGCTTGTACTAGTCTCAGCCTACCTCTCGGGGAATAGAACCCTACTTCAAAGCGACCTAGATACGCTTCTTAACTTAGGCCCTTCCGTGATAATTGCAGGAGATCTAAACTGCAAACACGGCTCATGGGACACCAACAGCATCCCAAATAACAACGGAAAGCATCTCTTTAGCTTATCCGATAACCTAAATTTTAGTATAGTCGCTCCCGCGACTCCTACTAGGTATCCTACGGTGGACAACTACCAGCACGCGTCACCGAGTGTCCTAGACATAATGTTATTCAGGGAGGTCTCGCTCGACATCGAGTCGATAGAGACAATCCATGAACTAGACTCAGACCACAACCCGACCTGTGTAAACTGGGCCAGAACGCCGGCGCGGTCCCTCCGACCAAATCCGTAGTGGACTGGCATCGTCTTGAGGTCAAACTCAAGGCCTTGGACCCCCAGGACTTAGTAGACTTACCCGAGACGATAGCTACGTTCGATGACGCAAATCGAGCGATAGCGAGTCTCCGCGAAACTATTACTTCCGCAGTCACAGAGTCGGAACGGACGGTGAAACTGTCGGGCGACCGACGGTTTAACTTTCCGCCCGACTGCTAATTAGACAGAAAAATGCAGCCAAACGCGCCTTCGACCGATACCGATCGGAATCGAACCGAACCCTACTTCGACGCCTTCAGCTAGAAGTCAAAGATCGTGTATCGGAACACCGACATACAACGTGGGACAATCTCCTAGAGGACATCGAGCCATCGCACACCGCCTAATGGTGGTTGGCCCGCAGTCTGAAAGCAGACCCCCGCGAATCTCTACCGCCGTTAGTTAGACCTAATAGCGCTTCAGTAGCCCTAGATGACTCCGAAAAAGCCGAATGCCTTGCGGACAACCTAGAGCAGCAATGTACGCCATCGCGCGAACACACCGATTCAGTCCACCTAATGGAGGTGGACCACGTAATCGAGACTAGGGCTGCACTTCCACCGGAAGGCGAACCTTTAAATTCAGTGACCCCCGAAGAGGTCCAAGATATTATTAAAAATCTAAAACCGAAATCCGCCCCGGGCCCAGATAATATCAGTAACAAAATTCTTAAAGCTCTCCCTGGGCCGCTTATCTGTTTACTGGCGACCATTTACAACACTTTACTCTCCAGTTGCTCCTTTCCCGACGACTGAAAAGAAGCCACGGTTATCGGCATTCGCAAGCCGAATAAACCAGCCAACCAGCCCTCTAGTTATCGTCCCATCAGCCTCCTCAGTTGCCTGGGGAAGCTCTACGAGCGGCTTTTATTAAACAGGCTCAATGAACACGTGTTTACCAACGGCCTTCTGTCGGCGGAACAATTCGGCTTTCGAGCTAGACATTCCTGTCCCGATCAACTATTCCGCCTAACGGAACATATCCTAAAAGGCATAAATCACCCTAAACATATTAGTACAGGGGCTCTTTTCTTCGATGTCGCAAAAGCATTCGACAAGGTCTGGCACAATGGCTTGCTTTACAAGCTGTACACACTCAAAGTGATAGATAGGCTCGTACACACCATCCGGGCCTTCCTGTCAAACGAGCGGTTCAAGGCCTGGATGGTTTTCGATATCGAGTTGAAGGCACCCTCTCCACAAGCCGCCGCCTCACGGCCGGCGTACCACAAGGCTCCTGCCTCTCACCTTTGCTCTTTACGCTCTACACGAGCGATATACCTAAAGACCCCCACGTCAATCTCGCGCTTTTCGCGGATGACACGGCGCTCTTTTATTCAGACCGCAACCTTAGACTACTAACCACTCGACTCCAAAGCGCCGCCGACTGCCTCGGCGACTGGTTCCGCAAATGGAGAATAGAAATAAATCCCGAAAAGAGTGTAGCGATTCACTTCACAAATTATTATTATATAAGACCTGCGTACGACCTATTATGTCCTACGCATGCATGATCTTCACCCACACGCACCCTACTCGCTTGTACAAGCTGCAAATAGTACAAAATAAGTTCATCCGCCGTGCAACCGGTGCGCAGTGGTATCAACGCAACGTCGATCTGCACAGCGATTGCAGACTCCCGACGATTCGCGAATATTTTAAAGACCTGACCAAACGGTTCTTCGATAGAGCCGAACATCATCCCAACCCTCTGGTGGTAAGCGCAGCAAATTACCAACCCGACACAAACGCGAACGTCAACAAGCGTCGCCCGCGAAACGTCCTCATCGACCCGGTCGAGGAAGGGGACTTAGATACGCCGGACCCACCGCCGGGGGTCCCGCCGGACAACACTACACCTACAGTTAGTGCAACAACAAACACACTAGTTCGCCCTCGCCTCCGAGCACGGCGAGACCAACACAACGCGTACACAAGGTACACCCGCGTTCCAGGGCGGTTCTCACCGCCCCCAGCCACCGATTAGCTAAAAACACAGTCGACGGCCATCGGGGTCTCGGTCCGCACCGCAACTTCGATGGCCCTTAGATGACATGTCGTAGTTAAACGCACGCATGAGCACATGCGCGGCCCTACCCACAGCGGAGGTCCCAAACCCGTGGGTTCTGGCTAGCCCACCGGTTCTCTGTCAGATGAAGCTTTAATAGTCTCGGGACTGAAAGCATAAACATCAGTTAAAACAAGATACAAGACAATCTAGTGGCCAAAAACTTACATCGCGAGCTCGCTTTGAAATACGTTCCCGTGAATCGGAGATATCATGTTATCATATTATCATGTTGTAGGAAAAAACCTCGTGGGAGCCAAAACGTACGAGGAGACAAAATATCTGGACCTGATTCGCGAGGTGATTGATTTGTGGGATAGTGTGTCTCTATATTATATTTTTTTCTTATCGTATTTATTAATTTGTTTTTTATTTATAGTACCTGGAGGACCGAGCTTTGCTCGGTTTGTTTTTTTTTTTTGGTAAATCGTGTATTTTGGAAATTACATTTAAATACAAATTACTAAGTAATGAAATGTGCATAATAATATGATCTTACCGACGTAATATAATAAATAAGAAAATATGAACTGGTATTTTTCACAAAAGAAAGAACTTTAAAAAAAAGGGGAAAAAATAACAAATCGACAAAAAATAAAAGATAAAGAAAGCAATGATCTGGAATCGAAAAAAAAGTAAAAAAAAATGTGTTAATGATTGTGATACGAACCACGGCCTTCTGTATCGTGGTTGTTTGTTAGCGGCCGCCCGAATACCGACCGAGCTATTATAACCTTTTTTTTTTTCGGTGAAAATTACCGCCGTATTCGAATAATATTTTTCATTCCATGAAAACTGGGATAAAACGACATTTTCTAAAAACGAAACCTAGTCAGATCGATTTTTCGCCCCCGAATCTACGCACATACTAAATTTCATGAAAATCGCCGTTTCGGAGATTCCAATTATATTTATAATTGGAATCTCTCTCTCTCTATATATATATATATATATATATACAAGAATTGCTCGTTTAAAGGATAAGAAGATGTAATTGTATATTTCCCCAATACACGAGAAGAAAACTCAAAAATCTATATAAATTCATAATAAAAAAGTGAATGTCATATTCTAAATTCAGACTAAAATAATTCAAATATAACTTTTGGAACAAACTTAACAGCTAGCAGTGTTTGCGGTTTGCGGGCACAAATAATAGTAATAATTATTATATAATTCTTCTCCTCCCGACTGCGGAATCTACGTAGACTTTTGTAAAATATATATTTTTTTAATTTGCGCAAAACCGTGGCGCAAATATAAAAACTAATAATTACACTACACATTTAAAAGAATATTTATACGAAAAATACAGACCCAAATAAAATGATACGATTAGAGAATAAAATTTACAACTTACAATTGCTAAAACAAGCGTACCTCACTATATTTTTTGCCACTCGTCTTTGAATATCTTAAACAATTAAGGTTTGCAAACCTTAATTGTTTTGACTCCAAAATTATTACCTACGTGTGTCTGTCGATTATTTTTGTTTATTTTAAATTATAATTTTTGTAAATTGGTAACTGTAATCTTCTCTGTTTACAAATTGCTGTACTGCTTGTACGTAGCATTTACGATTAGAGGTCGCAAGTTAAAATTACAGCAGCATGTATTTCCCTTTTTGGTTTCTTACGTCATACTCAAAAACAATGTCAATCATCACCATTGGAACTAACTTTTGTTGCATACTTAATTAAAGTAGAATATATTTTTTCTCCATAAATACCATTTTAAAAAAATATTAAATTCCCTTTCACTGTAAAAAATACAGTATTTACAGTAACTTGTTTAAACTTTATCTGTAGTTTTTGCGCTGGACTAGTAGCTTGCAATGACATAGCGTGGTTTCATACCATCATTATCAATAAGTACCTGACACATAGCATGCTACGTAAAAATAGTAGCCCTTTAATATTAAGCTGTACAAAATAAAAAGTTAAAATGAAAGCACTTTTAGCGAATTTTTTTAATTGTACATACTGTGCCACCAAAAGTTGTTGTAAATAAATCACATGCTTTCCACTTCGGTTATATATTTAGAAATCTAGTAATGCTAGTGTCGAATTTTTTAGTAAATAATTAAATATATGTTCAGAAATAGGTAAGAAATTAATATTTTTTTTGTAAAGCATAGTAATAGTTTTTATAGTAATTTACCTTATGTAGATTATAAATAAATAAGACTAATTAAAACGCTTTACTTCTACAAATTGAGTTTGGAGAAGTAGAGAAAAATATATTAAACTTTTAAAAAGTTTTGGTCACTTTTTGGTTTGCAATGTAGATAAAACCGTTTTTAACCAAAATCAATACTTAACGTCCTTAAAACCGTTTTCTTTCCTAAATTACAGATGGCGTTGGTAGGCAAATGGCCTAGAAAATACAGCGCAGTGCCGTATTATGTAAAGGAACTGTCATTGTGTGATTTCTATGGGTGAGCTCATGCACTCACACTAAGTTCTCTATTCAAGTTTATTCCGCCAGCGAGCGACGACAAGTAGCAAGTAGCTGTCAAAATCCGTCTTGTATGAGAGCCGAGAGTGATTTTAAAAAAATGATTTTTATCACACATTTTAAATAATTTAAAGTTATGTATGCCTGTACGAGTGCATTTGAATCAAAATTATCTTGTTCTTTAACAAGCAGAACCTACTCAGACGGCAGACACCATGGTGCAGTGTCATCCACCGTTGGAACTGGAAGAATTGCCAAAAGAAGACGAAGAAAGATTAGAGAAATTGTTTTCTAAATTAGACACTGATGGGAATGGTAAAATAGACATTCACGATTTATCCGTCGCATTGAAGGAGCTGGCCCCGCACATCAATAGAAGCTATGCAGAGGTTAGAATTTTAAAATTACTTAAAGCTGTAATAAAACTAACGGTGTATTCACCTTTCAATTCATGCCAAAGTTGCCACGAGTTGCATGAGTCATGTGTACTTAGCCCCCTCGTTGTGTAGCGAATAATTACTAAGTAGATTTGTTTTTGCTGGTTATTTATGTAGAACAAGTTTCATGCACGAAAACTTATTTAATGTAATAAAAGTGTTTATGCTTTTAAATGTAAATGTTGCTTCTTATCAATTATAATATCGAAAATAAATATATTTCAATTGCTTCAACTGTTTATCATTTAAAAGAAAATAAGTAATTATTAACAGTATGTTATTAACTATTAAAAAAACTTGCTTATTTAGATCTAAATAAATTTTTAAAGAGTTGCTTTTGTTGTTATAATTGAAAATGCTTGATAAATTTTAATTTTTTTTTCATTAATTATATAAGGACTATTTCAATTTACTAAATGTGTTTGCTATTTAGGGGAGCATTAGTTAATTATATGAGCACTAATAGGATATTTTTAAAATCACTGGTGAAACTAATTGTAATGATAAAAAAGATAAAAAATCATCACTGTCAAGATGCCAATGTCAAATACTTGAGATTATATTTACTTTTCTCTAGACTATGTAAAATTGATAGGTTACATAAATCTTTTGTGTATAATACAATATATAAATTTATAAATTGAATTAAGCCATTTGAACACAACATTTCTATTGAGTGATATAATATTATACCTATGTAAGAATGTACAATAGAATGATATTACATGCGCAATTTACACTTTTAATGTTGTTTTATGCATTAAACATAGAACTTAGAATGCCACATCAAGCAGCACTTTGCCATTTGACTTTCTTGTTCATTGTACCATAACTAATGGTGATGTGGGGTTGTGTAAAAGATCTTAGGTTTTTTCTCTGACTGCCTCATGCTGTCCAGTGATTATATATTCAAGAGTGGACTTTATACTGTAATAATGATACTTTGACTATCATTTTCTGTTTAAGTCCTCTCATGTTGTTTTAATAAAACTTAATGAACATCAACTATATAATAGATGCTGCCTGCGAGTACATCTACGGAAAATAGGCTGAAGGCGTAACATTTAGATAGAATGAAAGATATACATATAAATATGTATATCAATTATAGCCTATCCATCCTCCATCCATACATACAAACTTTTGCATTTATAATATTAGTAAGGACTTTCATTACACAATTCACTGAATAATGAAATTGTTCAATTTCATAATTTTTAAATGGACATCAATTGTCATTTCATTGTCCATTATAATTAACACATGCCTGGGCTTGAACTGTAGTTATGTTTTTTTTTAAACCCATCTGGATGTCAGCCTCTGATGAATGAATTTTATTTTCAGAAATTTCTGGCCAAATCAGGATGGAAAGAAGCAGGAGATGTTACATTGTCGGAGTTTATCCATTATGTGCGGGAGCATGAGAAAAATCTTAGATTGCAGTTTTCTCATCTTGACAAAAATAAGGATGGTAAGATATATCAAAGGAACAAATAAAATGACTTAATAATTAAAAATTTTAATTAAATTTTATATGAGTAGATCTGGTAGAGAATCTACCTAAGAATTTATAATATTGGTTTTATTCAAACCAACTTTGTTTGTAGGAAAAGTTGATCTGGAGGAACTCATATCAGCATTTGCAGATTTGGGCATAGCGATTGGAAGAAATGAGGCAACTAATCTCTTAAAAAGGTAAGGTCGTTCTGTTATAAGATTGAACTCAGCAACATACTAGAGTTATGCGACCTATTTTGTGAAAACTGCTAAGCGAATGTAACTACAATTATTAAAACAACAATTAAGTAACTGTAATTATAACTTTAACTTAAAGCTAGGTAACAGAAGACATAGAAACTTTAATAATTAAAAATGACTTCTGTAAAGAAACCTCCAGATTACAGTGCTTATCTTTTCCCGTATTCTCTATATTACAGTTTTACAATAATTATTTTTTTATTAATCAAAGTGAAACCGAATCTACATTAGGTGTATATTAGTCTTTTAATTTAGTGATTATTTAAAATATATTAAAAATATTAAAGCAACATAGATAGCAACAACAATTATATATTGTTGCAAGAAAGACTGCTGGCAAGTTCTTTGGTGGTAAGTTAGAATTAACACAAATATGTGGTGCTTGTGTATTTTCTATCTAATATTTGTTTTCTTTTTTTTTAACTTTGCCCTTTAGGATAACATTATCCTGTGTTGTAAGGACGGTTATACAAACCTAAACTTCACCCACAAACATACAGATGCAAAACAACTGTCTTAGGGTTACACAAATAGTTGTCCCTTGTGTGGGATCGAACCCACGACCCCCGACGCCGGAGCTGATACATTGGCAACTGCACCATGGAGACATCATCATTATCAATATTATGCAATAGACACCCTAAACCGCATTGTACTAGAAACATCAAAAATGTTCCGTGTAAACTCATCAGAATCAAAAAAAATCATCAGAATCAAAGAAACAAAAAATCAAAGAAGAATCAAAAAGTTAAACGATCTTGCATAGGCAACTTGTTCCATCATCCCATGGCCGTATTGTTTCTTTATGCGTGGTTGGCTGTTTTTAATCATTTATTTTATTAATTAACACGTTTGAACATCAGATGCTATAAAAAACTGTATTCCAAGCTTTTATATGGCTTATATTCATTCAACAAAAAAATTCATTAGACCCAGATTCACATTATTTATTTACTCAATAATAACGATGATATCCACTTAGTGTAGTGGACACGACCAATCAGGGTGCAATGATGTGACTCATTTTAGAATAGCATTTTTTTAAGTATTTAGCGAATTTTAGGCGCACCTGTGACCGCTGACAATATTAAAATATCGATTATTTTCGCAAATTCTTCGCCGCGTCCTCTCAACGTCTTGTCCCGTTCGATACTAGTAAGAGATGCGCCGAATATGAAGTTATCCGAATACTAATATTCGGTTCCAAAATGTACCGAACTAAACATTTGATCGAATAATTACTGTTTGCGCAGTGATGAAACAAGTCGGATCGGTTCACACAATACGCTTTGCGAGTGACCCCTGGTGTTTTTTACTGACTTCTGTACCTGCATAAGATTTTATCTATGATATTTCTTCTATAAAAGCTTTCCGCTACTGTTATATCATTATTAGCGAACGTTGATACCTAATAAACCTATTATTACATACCTGTCCAATAAAGGTGATTTAAAACATTAATTGGTACTTTTAATATTATTGATTTCATAAAACGATAATAGTAAATAGTGGACAAAGTAGTTTCTTGAAAAAATAATTTTATTATTTTAAATGAAACCTAAACTGTTGATTTTTAATTTTGTGAATAATTTTCCAAAGTGATTAACCAACGATAGTTTCTGTTTGTTCCAGTATATGTGTAAATGTTAAAATAATACCATTTCAATGTTAGCAAAGTAAGCAGAAATTTGGCTGAATACGAATATAAAAAAACGTGCCGAATATTCGGTCGAATAATCGGCGCATCACTATTAATAAGTAACCCTTGTTCCAGCTGATCGTGTTGTTTCCCTAATGAAACATCGAAGTTGCAACATCAGTCTTTTGTAGTCTCTCAACTTAGATTTTAGAAGTTTATAACAACAATTATGTTGTTTGCAAAATCACGTTTAATTTTAAAGGAATTACACAAAGTTGTTATCGAGCAATCTTTCTTTTTATAATCTTCGCGTGAATAACGTCATACTAGATATTAAGATGTTCTTCGAGGTTATCAGGGAAGATTTCTGTCTCACAGCACGGCTGTGTTTATCGACCTCAGCTAATCCGTCATCAGTTTTTGTCAAAATGGATTGACTGATCGACTTTTGATAATAAATGTTTTTCATTTTTTTTTGTAAAAATCAAGGACTAACACCATAATAATGCATTAATTATTTTTCGGTTGCCGGAGCATATTTCTCTGTTGTTTGATTAAGGAAAAGTAAAAGTTGTTCATTGGCCTGGTACAAAAAAACAATTAAATTTCTTTCATGGATTCGAAGCTTTATGATACGCTGCCTACCTTTCAAAGGATAAGGCGTGGGTACGTTAACATTCTTTTTTTTTTGTATTAAAAGTTGGCACTCGAGCAGGTAGTTCACCTGATGTTCAGTGACTATCGACGACTTTTACATCTTCAACACCGTATAGGTTGCGTTGTAACTCACCCACAATACGAAACGCTGGCCTTCTCTGGGGCCGCGTTAGTTCCCCGAAGGAGTCTTACATTTCGTGCAACATTATATGCTGCGGTGTGGCCCTACCGCAGCAAAAACCTCTCCCGTATCCAAACAGCGACTAGTTGATAGGTAGGTGCGAAAATCTCGCACGGATCAACTAGTTGCTCTTTATTTGGTCTTACGAAAGGCAGGAAGGGTTTTATTATATAAACCCAGGGCTACAAAACTGTGTACAAGTCAAACCGGAAAAAAGTGTGTCCATAAAAGTTGATATTTGAAACATATATTTACCATACATACTAATCAATACCCAAAACTCCACGAGCGTTTATTTGTGAACAGAATGATATTGATTAAGTACAATTCAGTCGTTGCTTAGTCTGAAGGGATTGTTCACAGGATGGACCAGGATGGCAGTCTCAACATTAGTTACGACGAGTGGCGGGACTACCTCCTGCTGGCGCCTGCGACAGACATCCACGCACTCATACATTTTTGGAGACATTCCACGGTAAGTTAGTTAGTTATATTGGCCATCACTATTCCAGATAATTTCATTTCATTCACTCGTGGTAACCTGTAATTTAAATTATTTCTTCGTCGTAGTCTCCTATTACAGTGATGATGAATTTCTTAACAAAATACAACTGCGATTATTATTGTGAATTAAGAGTTTCTAACGCATTTTTACGAACTTTTTATCGTATTCCACTTACGACTTCAGTGACTGTGAAGAACACTAATCTAGAAACCTTTCGCTTTCGCATTGCATTATATAAAAATAAATAGACTGCTTAATACAGCAAATAATTACGAAATCAATAAATTTATCTAAATATATTTTTCAGAAAGTACGTTCTCGAACCAATAGAACAAACAGGAAGTGTCATAGTTTTTAAATTAACTGGAATATTCTTGTATATTATGTAGATTGAAATATACTAACTTTATGCTGTGCTTTATTACAAAAAAGAAATAAATTTAAACCTAATTATGTAAGTCTATTACTGCACCTTAAGTGCTTTTTTGTAGTTTTCTTTACGTTGAATTTTATCTCAATAAAGTCGAGCCATATAAAACTGAGTGGTAAAATAAATTATCTCCTATAAATTAGCACGTTCGTTCCGGGCTTACTACGGGTGCAATTCTAAGTTATGTCATTTAATCTTCCGTGTTACAACCAATATTGCTCCGACATAACCTAGTAGTCCAGTACAGTGAAAAAAAAAAAATCTGTTGTACTTTAATATGATGTCAATTCGACAAAATCTTAAACTTAACTGTTATCAAGAAGAATTATACATAAGATGGTCATAATTTTTTTGGTTAAGTTATGTTATAACCTAAAATAATATTCATTTACCCTACACGTAAGTATGGAAACGAGAAGGATACGCATTATTAATTAAGACGTCCGTTATTTTTGTTTGTGACAGACGAACTTGGCATTGCAGGTGTAGTTCACAGATTGTTAAAGTAACTAGCAAATAACATGCCCGTTACGATCGTATATATGGGTGTGTCATCTTCGATCCATGCTTCGCAGACAGGAAATGAAGATTGACCGAACATGAATTGATTGCCCTCGTGACGATACTCTTTGTGGGCTGTTTTCTCTAGGGCTGCCGAGAGCAGTAATGTGGCCATCATGTCTGGGAAGAGGAAAGATTACGCTTTTATACATAATTCTTTTAATAAGCTTTGTAACTACTTTTTTAATAATGCTATTTTTTATTATCTGTATTAACATCGGACGCTTTCAAGCGTTGTCTGGGTACCGTAAGTCAATCTATTTTAGTACGGAAAGGAAATGAAATACCCCTATTCTTTATTTATTATATAACTTATATAGCTTATATACAGCGTGTCGTTATCACCGCGACAATAAATACCTTTTTAAAATTGTATTAAACATTTACATTCTTCAAACATCAATATTTACCGAGTTATTAAATTTTCCAAAACAAACAATTTTAGAACACCCTTACCTATAAAAGCGTAACGTAAATTTCATTTGTAAAGGTCACAAAGCATATGAATGGGTTGAATGAATTTAAAAGAGACAAAACATACTGTTAGAAGGAGAGACTTGTAATACGACGCTGTGGCGCGAGTTGTATAGTATGTTACAAATTTTGTTTCCTTTTTACTTAATTAGTTTGTTTGAAAAAAATTTTTTTTTAATTATGGATTTTGTTTAACGTTAATATTTTTTTATGACTTTTGGCAAATAGCGTTAGACGTATGTTCATTTATTGTCGCGATGGTAACGACACGCTGTATAGCTATTCCTTTATTTCTTAATGTTGCCTATTTTTTGCCAAATATTTTTGGAATAATAAATTTAAACAACTGAATTAAAATTTCAAGACATTGTTACAAAATGTTTTCGGGGCTAATTAGGACATGAAACAACAAAGGAGAATTCTTGATCTGTTTATGATATAAAAGTCAGTGCGGGCCTCTGAAAATATAGTGGCAGCACTAAAAAACGTCATTGCATTCTTAACGCGTTATTATAAAGCGTATTATACCCATAATGCGTTAAAGGATTTCTGCATGAGGATCGTCCAAAGTTGCATGTTTTATACAATAAAAAACAGGTACCTGCCTTGAAAAGCGCTATTTTCAAAGCCCCTTTACCGCTAACACCCTTCGCTCTTTATAAATATTGGTGTAACGTGACCTCTGTAACCCAATGACCTAGATATTTTAATACCTGTTTCAAAGGTACCCCATGTAAAAGATACGCGATAACAGAAAAGAAAATTAGTATGTCATTGAAAAACAAGTAGTTCACTTTTCTTATTCTTGTATCTTAGCTTATGAGCCTTAGTGCAATCTTCGGATTTAAGTTTAGTTTAAGTTATCTTAAAGCACTGATAAAAGGAACTCAACGGACCGTATCATCTGCGTAACTTAAGTTGTTAATAAAAATACGATCAATTTTACTCAATCGCTACAAATGTGCAATGCGTGTCGTGTAAATGAAAAAGGAGCGGCCATAATTTTCGAAGACGACTTTCTTAAATTGAGTTAGTCCTGCGGCTTTTTACCATTTCCTATCAACTTCATTGTTTCCTATATCTACAGTTGATACGGCTTCAACGTCATCCAAATACCACATCTAAAATTCCAATAAAGTTACAATCGCCGGATAGGTCAGCGCTCGCAAATTTTATTTATGTGTAAATGTTGTGCATAATGTCTTTGATGCGTACCTCGATGATGGCAATTTTACTATATATTTTATATGTGCTTTACTTTGTCAATGTTTTAAATTTTTCACTCTCTGTGACCAGATTGTGCAAAATTTTTCATGCATAGCGTTTTACCGTACAGACGAACATCTGAACTCCCCGTATATTGAAGGCATTTATTCAAAAATTCTCATATTTCCTCAAATGCAATGATGGAGTAGACATGTGTTTTACTAATATTAATAATGTTTTTCTTATTACTAATTATTATTAAACGTTGTTTCAGTATTAATTGCATACTTTGCAACTTTGCAATTACACTTTACAATGCAACGTTACTTTACGTTGCTTAAAATTATCAGCCGCCTTTGGTATATAATGATGTGGTATTATGATTCTTAATCCACTTGTCTGGCATTGCGATTAAGAGGATTGTTTTTTATTTTATTTGAAATGGTTTCCGTATTTAAATAAGAGAGTTAAGCAAAACAAGATTAAGAGAGATAGTCCATTTTATATAAAGCAACTCTTGCCCATTCACATCCATTGATAGGTCAGATATTTAAAAATGTTATTTGTACGCACCTTTTCATTGGTTTCGGTAATTCTATAGATGTTCTTACTCTGGAGTTAAAGAAAGTTTTGTAGGGTTTATCCACTTATATCATCGCTAGGTACCCTCAGTTAGTTGAGACAGCATATACTAGGAAATTATGTCAAGCTGAAACGAAATTAGACAAACAATTCAGTTATAAAAAGTTACTAAAATGACAAAATATATAAAATAAAAACATACATAAATAAGACCCAGATAAACCTGCAATAAGAGAGTATAATCAAATAAGATCTATTGCAAAATATTTTTGTTATAATGAGACACCTTAAAAAAGCAATGAAACATTGTTTTCTTGGCATTCACTATTACATCATAGCTTAATATTTTTTATTTACTTGAACATGATTTTATCTTGTGACCAAGAAGTTAGAAATGTATTGAATAATATATTTCGTTATTTAAACATAATGTAAGTACTAGATTAAGCGGCAATTACGTTTTATTTAAACGTTTGAGAATATTATGAACTAACGGGCCTCCCCGGCTGCGCACGGGTGCAATGTATTATACATATGAACCTTCTGGGAAATAGGAATTCATTTTTATATATAGAGATAAATAAATAAAAGATTCTCCAGACTGACTTCTTTCTTTTTTATATTATAATGAATAAGCCCAAGACGTTAATGTTTGCAAATTGCTACTATAGGGTGAGCCGACCATCTAGCATTTGAAATTTGAATTTTCTCTTATTTTGGGTTAAAAGGTAAAACGACATTCATGAGTTGGCAAAAGTTAAGTTTTATGTTTGACTTTTGCGAAATGAGACGTTATACGCTCTAACAAAGTTGGGAAATAATAAAATCTTGAAAATTGTTGAATCTCTTATCCAAACTGTAAGAAATTTAAAAAGAAAATTCAACCAAAATGAATTCAAGGCAGTTTGTGCATCAATTTGTGAAGCGAGTTCGTGAAACTGGTTTGTTATTCGACTAAACAAGTGTATGGTCTCGTCCAATGCGTTCAGCCGGAAATATTTATGGTGTTGGTCAGAATGTACTGTTCTCAGGAGCTGAACATTTCTCGCACTTCTTTTAGGAGAAATTTCATTTTTTTTCTTACGGAGCCAGTCAGCCAACATTTTGCGCCCCGAAGTTGCCATTGATGGAATAAGCATCGTAGCAGTCATATAAACGAAGTCGTTTTTCAATATTTTCGAAAAAATAATTTTATATTATAATTCCAATTTTTAATTGGCCCACCCTCTATATAAAATGTGACTCCCATAACAAAAAGTTCGTACATTATTCACGGTTTACGCCCGGTTTCTAAAACACTTATATCGTAGAACTCAACTAATCAGCTGATATTGTAGAAGTCAACTGACCAGAACGATATTCATAATTATCAGAATGATCAAATCAAACAGTTTAGCAATCCTTTAGTTACTCAAATAACGTTTGACAAGTCATTTCACAGCTGATTAGTTGACTTCTATGATAATAACGGCCGGTTTCTGAAACATTGTTCAACGTAGATGTCAACTAATCAGCTGTCAAATGAATTTCAAATGTCATTTGAGTTGCCAAAAGGATGTTTAAACTCTTTGAATTGATCATTCTAATCATAAAGAAGATCATTCTGGTCAATTCAGAGAGTTTAAGCATCCTTTTGGTACCTAAATTGTAATTTGAATTAAATGGATTCATTTGACTGCTGATTAGTTGACATCTACGATGATCAGTGTTTCAGAAACCGGGCGTCAGTTTTTCAGAAACCGGGCGTTAGACTGCTAACTCTTCATTTCCATCATGAATGTTTGCCGTTATAAAAAATATGACGTAGATCTCCGGTAATTGATTTATTATTTGTGTACATGACAACGTGCATACTCGATGACTAAATAAAAAAAATCAGTCTCCGAGTTGTTCTAGAAGTGTTTAAGTTGTCATCCATACGTTTTAGGGTTGCGTTTTACTAGCCTGTAGGCAATTATATGTACGTATCATTTAATTACGATTTTATTGTGAATTTGATAAAACACTTAATCAATATCTATACTTCTCGTATAAAACTATAGTGTCTCGTGTAATTAAGTGTCCATAATTGTCTCAACCAGATCGCTTAAATTTATTCTTGTAATTGTTATTTGTAAGCCAATCAATATACTCTTGACGAAAACGCATGAGTAAGTAATTGTTAGTTTAGAAAGAAACCATTCTCAGTTGTGTTATAAACAATACAATGGTGAAATATAGTTCTAATCAGTATGAACAGAACCAATCAATGAACAACGTCAATAGATTTTATAGATTCTATTCTTCTAAATAATCATCAATTGATCTTTCTATGTTGAGTGAAAATACACCTTGTTACCGACTAGTTCCAGTCTCCTTATGATTTTTGTATATTTTTTTGTAATATTTACGTAATTTATAAAATGTTAGTCATAGTTGAATGAAATTTGTCACTTGTTTTTTATTATCAACAACATTGAAAATCTGTGGAGGCATTGAAGAGGATTGTTATCGCGAAACCAAGGTCTTATGGATTTATGCGCGGCCATCCGCCAGACTGAGGTATCCCTAGCGAGACGGGCGCTTTTTAATGTAATTGGATGATCAATCAAAACCGTGGGTGCGGCCGTGGGTGGAGGTCCTACGTATGTTCTAGCAATTCACAAAACGTCACCAGTGACGGG